AGCGCTTTTTGACTTTCTTGGGGCTGCAGAGTGCTGCAAGTGTTGCAGTACTTACGTGAAGCTTGCAATATTGATTTTTCGAAATGCAGAGGTCAGTCCTACGACAACGCAGCTAATATGTCTGGGTGCTACAATGGCATGCAGAAAAAAATTCTAGAAGAAAATGAGTTTGCTATATGCATACCCTGTGCTGCCCTGTGCTGCCAATTCACTAAATCTGGTAGGCAGAAGTGCCTTTAACTCTTGTTTAGAGACAGTAAACTTCTTCCATACAGTGCAACAGATCTATACTTGTTTTGCTCAGCTTCAACCAAAAGATGGAAAATTGTGAAAGGATGCCTGAAAAGCTGGTAAAGTCCCTTTCCGATACCAGATGGGAAGCACATGCTGTTGCAACTGAAGCCATTCTAAAGTCTCATCCTCAGATTATAGAAGCGTTAGAATGTTTACAAGAAGACCAGTCACAGAAGGGGGACACCAGAAGAGAAGAAGAGAACATTGCGAAGAAGATGCAAGAATTCGAATTTTCTTTCATGCTTGTCTTTTGGCAAGAAGTGTTGCAACATTTTCACAGGGTCAGTCAAGCTCTACAAAATGAGCGCGTCAACTTGAAAATGTGTGCTGATTTGTTTTCTTCACTAGCAGATCACTTGCATGAATCTAGGAATGAATTTGAACGATTTGAAGAAGCTGCAAAATAAATAACACCTGGTGTGGATTTTAAGTCAACTTTGACCCGTAATCGTAAACGAAAGGCAGTGGTCATTGATGGTGATGCCCCTGTGGTATCTGAGAATGCCAGAGACAAATTTCGTATATCTGCTTTCTACACCACTGTTGACAAACTTGAGACAGAGATGAGTAGACGAGGACAGGTATATAATGATCTAGCAGTTCGACTTTCTTGTTTGGTCGATGTACCACAAACATCTCAGTGTTGTGAAGGACTAACAAATGCTCATCCTGAAGATCTGAACAATAATTTATATACTGAACTACAACAGTTCCACTCATTTATTTGCCACAAGTTTCGTGCATCAAAATCTGAGAACAACACGTTTAGTCATGCAGAACTCTACAAAATTAGAGAAACATCGAGTGTGCTTCTCCAAATGTAGAAATTGCCTTGTGCATATTTTTAACGTGAATAGTTACGTTACGAACTGTTCAACTGAGCGCTCTTTTTCTCAGCTGAAACGTACAAAAAATCCAAGTAGATCGACAATGAAACAAGGAAGGCTTGATTCATTATCTTTGCGGGTGATTGAGGCAGACTTGTTGAGCAAAATTAACTTTGATGATGTCCTCAAAAACTTTGCCAGACGTAAATCTAGAAAAAATAAGTTTAAAATGTAAATGTGTGCTCTCTCGGACTTTCTTATCTATCAAAAAAGTTACAGTATTTTTGTCTGCTATTATTACAAAATTAATTAACTATTAATTTTAATTCAGAAATACCTTATTGTAGGTTTTATATTATTGTACAAACATATGCGTTTACATTTCACAACTGTTTTTCTTTGTTAGTTTTTTTTCATATTATTGAACATACCAGCAATCAGTGGAGGATCGGGGGCCCGGGGCAGTAGGGGGCACCCATGTGGGTTTGTGCCTAGGGCACCAAGATGGCTTAATCCGGCCCTGCAACCAACCAACTGCCCAGTACACATTCACAGAGATATGACATGTCATGTGGGTCACCTGCTGGTTATCTTAAATAGTCACAAAAACATGAAATCTATGAATTCGCCCGTGAATGTTTTTTAGCGAGAGTGTTTGGCGCCCGTGGACAAGATTTGCGCCCAGGGACAAGATTCATTTTAAAGAGCCCTCTTTCTTTTTTTTCAACTGTCAAACCCATTATTTTCATCGATAAAATAATATCAAAGCACATTTTGGCGCCCCTAACTAGCTGGCGCCCGGGGACATCTGTCCCCCCCCCCTACCTCTGGCACTCAGGTTGTTTAAAGAGCCGCATGCCACGATTTGCCAACAACTGAGTAAACCCGATGAGACACTGGTTCAGTGAACGCGCTGACACTCTCAATCTCAACACACATTTTGAAAGTTGCGTCTACCTAAAAGGTCCCCTCCCATTGGATCCAGCATTTGCCAACTTTTTTTTTTTTTTTTCCCCCCCCCCCCCACCGGGCACCATACACGTTTTAAATGACCCACCCCCTTCCTTAGTGTGTGGTGGGGGGGGGGTCTCCACAGTGTTGTCAGAAAGATTAAATCCCAATGTTACATCTTGTCTAGGCATCAAGATTAAAGTAGAAGTAATTAAAGTAGGAGTAAACTTACAATAGGAAAAAATAGTGTATTTCAAGAAATGACAATCAGTAATATTTATATTTATATATTTGTAAATCGTCCCATCTAACACTGCCCCCCCCCCAACCCCTCGAAACATACACCTTTTATATTCTGATTGAATGTATGTCTCCTCATCATTTTCATATTACATGTGTTGCCCGGGGGGGGGGGTGGTTATTGAACGCCCAAAGTTATGAAACACACTGCCTTATTAAGTACACGTACGGTGTGTTCCATTGAGTCACACAAATCATGAATTTTTTTTTTTAGTTATGAAAGAAAAAAAATGGTGGGGGGGGGGGGGGGGGGGACTTTAGTGACTATTCCAGATTTTCATATTTTGTTATTTTCTTCATATCACCTTTCTTTCTGTGAATTTTGGTTCCATTTACTGACATTTTGTCTATCGTAAACATTTATATGGACTTTCAAATCTGAATTAGGGTTAATAAAATATTTTCCTGTGACCTTTTTGTTTTTCCCTAAGCCTTTTTTTTCCTTTGACTCCTTTTAAGGGCCTTTTTTTTACTCCTTTTAAGGACCTTTTTTTCCTGTGCCTTTTTTTCCCCCTACACTCGCGACAATGAACTCTTTTAAAAAAAAAAATAATTAAAAACGTTCATGGTTTGTTATTTATAGCAATACAATTATTTCCACGTATATAAAATGTAGTTACGTACAATATGGAATCACGAAGCTAGAACAGGCGGCGAAATGGAAATTGAATCTTCTTGACAGTAACAGCTGAACGAGGTATATGGAAGCTTGCAATGTACAGACGGGACATTATGAGAACAACGTTTCGGATAAAAGACTTCCTCAACTCTAAGTCGAAACGTTCTTCTCATATTGTCCTGTATTTATATTGCAAGCTTCCACACACCTTGTTTCACTATTTCCTCCAAACGACGTGAACGCAGTCCTTCAATTTATTATTCTTGATGGGCATGATTAAAAAAAAAAAGGGGGGGGGGGGGAATTAAAAAGTAAAATTCCCTAAATAACCAAAAAGGGAGGGGGAAAAAACCCTTTTTTTTTTTTTTTTTTTT